GCTCCCACCACATCCCTCCAAGCTTCATGCCCCTCCCTAAATCACACAGAATGACTGAAAATGTTTGTGACACAAAGACAGCCCTAAAATATGATTGCTGACAGCTAAGGGAAAAGGCAGAAAAGCATCATTGGTCAGTCAGGAAGAACTCGGGAGCTGGTAGAGATATTTAAAACAAATACAACACTCAGTCTTTGCCTTCAAGCCATTTTTACTCTCTTAGGTTACCCCATATAAAACTGACATTTTTTATAAGTAAGAAGTCAACTATCATCAATTTTATATGTTCAATCTACAATTGGATAAACAAAACAAGCACACATTAAACAATAGCAAAAAATAAAAAGCAATATCAAGTTCTATCTTAAATTACATGATATGGGGCCAGCAGGTGGTGTGGTGGTTGAGGGTGCTGGGCTCCCACATGGCCGACTGTGGTTTGAGTCCTAGACCTAGAAGCTTTGCTTTCTTTCTTGCTTTCTCTCTCCCTCTCTCACTCTCTCCCTCTCTGGTAAATTTAAAAAATAAATTAATTAAATAATTTTAAATTTTTTTTAAAAAAATTATATGATGTGAAAGTAAATGTCCAGGGAAAAGCATCAGAGACCTACGTCAGCTGATGTAACTGAAACCAGAATAGATTTAAGCCATAAAGTTTATGTGAAATGAGTGTTAATAGAGGAGGTGAAACTCCAAAGAGAGAAAATTATAGGGGTGAAGGCACAGGACCAAGAGCAAGCATATTCCACACGGGGCAGAGTGCTCACAACAGAAGGTGCATACTGAGAAATGGAACATGAGTTTGAATAATGTGGAATCACAGCTACACTTGTGTATTGGGCAAATAAAAGCTAAGCTCCAATTTTGTCTAGTTTACTTTTGTATCAAGAATCTGGGAAGTAATTCAATATAATTTTGTGAAACAAATGAGGGAAGAGTTTCAATTACTGATAAAATAAGAATTCACTGGGCCAGCCAGGGCGCCTGGATCCCACGTGGCTGACTGCACATTTTGAATCTCAGACCTGGCCACCTGAGAGACACACCAGGCCTGTGTAGTGCATGTCCAAAATCACAGAAGGAGAATTGGAGGAGAAGGGATTACAGCACGGTCAACCCCCATGAGGGGTGCTTTCTCACTGTCCTTCTGTCTCCTTCTGTCTCACTACAGCAAGCGCATGTGTCCTCGAGCAAAATTAAAAGAACCAAATCACTGTGGCTTCAGTAACAATTAATTGGAATTTAAAAAAATATAAAAATAGGAGAGATGGTATATGCTGAAAATGATATCTAAAACTGATGAATATTTATACTTTATGGATCAAAGGAAAAAGGCTGACATTCAGAAATAAAACTAGGATATTATATCAATAATCTAGAGAGGGATAAGAGTCAAGGTTAGGATAAAAAAGAGAGAGAGAGAGACTTATATTGGAGACATTTAAATGAAAATCAGTATGAACCTTGAAAACTTTATGCTAGTGAAAGAAGCCAGTCGTGGGGCCAGCAGGTGGCATGGTGGTTAAGGCGCTGGACTTCCACATGGCTGACCACAGTTTGAGTCCCAGACCCAGTGACTTGAAAATCACACCAGGCGTATGTGTGTGTGTGCCCAAAATCCGAAGAGGAGACTGGAGCAGAAGGGATTGTGGTATAGCCTCCCCCCCCCCGCCCTGGGGGGGAGGGCAATTTCTCACATTCCTTCTCACTGTCCCTCTGGTGAGCACACACTCCCTATGGAAAAGAAAAAGAAAGAAAGAAAGAAAGAGAGAGAGAGAGAGAGAGAAAGAAAGAAAGAAACCAGTTGCAAAAGACCACATATTGAATTAGTCCATTTATATAAAATGTCCTGAATAGGCAAATCTATTGAGACAAAAAGCTGATTTTTGGTTCCTAAGACTGGGGGCATGGGAATGGGGTAGAGGGAAAAGGAGGCTGACTCTAATGGGTATAGGGTTTTAGGGAGAGTGGTGAAATGTTCTAAAATTGATTGCAATGATGATCATGCACAACTCTGTGAATAAACTACGAACTATAGAACTGTAGACTTCAAATAGGTGAATGTATGGAATTATGTCTCTATAAAGAAGTTATTTTAAGGGACCAGCAGTTAGCGTAATGGCTATGTTGCTGGACTCCCATGTTGCCGACTGCAGTTCGAGTTCTGGACCCAGTGGCTTAAACTCACGCCAGGCGCATATGCGTGCATGCCCAAGATCCCAAGAGGAGAATGGAGGAGAAGGGATTACGGCATGGCCATCCCCCATGGGGGGTGATTTCTTGCTTTCTATCTCTTTGTCTCTCTCTGTCTTTCTGGCGAGCGCATGCGCCCTATAGCAAAAACCTCTCAAAAAAAAAATGTTACTTTAAAAGAGAGAGGAGGAATTGATGAACTATGGTAAATGACAGGATATATGTTGATGGAGAAACTTAGTCACTCACTATAGATTCCATAATTTCCAGTTTGATCCTCATTGAAATAACGAGAATAGCACTAACACCATTATTATTTAATATTGTTTTAGGAATCCTAGACAATATAGTAAGACATGAGTCATAAACTAGAGGTACAGTATTAAAGTAAGGGACCAGTTTATTACTTTCAGAAAACCTGAAAGAGTCACCTAAAAATGGTTAGCATTGATCCAGTGCCATGGTCATATGTAAGATGTACACAAATGTTAATATATTCTAAGAACCAGCAATGGCGAATAAGAAAAAAAGTTGTACAAAAGTTTAACCTTGAAATACGCTAAATAATCAATGTTGAGTGGCTTAAAAAGGAACAAGATAAAGTTTTATTAGGGATTCATAAATGACTTAATAAAATGAAGATATATATCAGATTCTTTGATAGACTAAATATTATAAATATATCAATCCCTAAATTTTTTTTAAAAGTCTATTCAAATTCTTAAATAAGAGTAAATATACATTGCTGACAGTATGAATTCAGTGAACTATTTCAAGGGCCTTCAAGATGTTCATGCTCTTTGTCCCAGGAAGTCTTCTAGATAGAGAAACAACTGTGCACAAGATACTCAATTTTCCCTTTGGATCCCAGATGACTTCACGTCTTCCTCACTGTCTCCTCTTATCTCCAGATTCTTCAAACTTCCTTCACTTACATGGTCTCCAGGCTGTTTCATCTCCTAGTTATTTTCCCCTACACGGACTATAGTTTGTTAGTGCCTCTCTTTACATGTGTCATTAACCTTGGTTGTTTAAGGAAGAGTAAAAATAAGGAAAACCAAACGTAAGTATTGTTACCACAATTTAGAAATAACCCATGACGCATTGGAACATGTTTACTGGTGGTTGGGTATAGGGTTGGCAGTGGTTATTTCTTAGAAAGTATGCATCGCGTGTTGGTATTAGGAGCATGCCCTTTCTGAGGTTTATTGGAGTTAATGTTCTTCAGAGAACATAAATAAAAGGAGGTCTGTTTATGGCTTCCTAAAGGTAAGGGAGAGGGGAGTAAGTTGAATAATGGTGGAAAACATACTCGCTTGACTCAAAAAACACTCAGGATAATTTCTAACTCTTGTATTAAGAAAAAAAAGTCTCCACTATTACAAGGCAGTAAACCTAATTTTTCTATTCATTCTCTGCATTTGAAAAAGGTTTTTTTTGTCAGAGGTGTGCAGGCTTCCTGGAGAATGACAGAAAGAGGGAGAGAGAGAAAACATTCCCCCATGGGGAAAGGTCTTGCTGCAATCCCATCTCCTCCATTTCTACCTCCTTTTGGGCTTTGGAGCTCACATGCACATATGTGGTATATTTTTTAAACTGCAGGTTCTGGACCCTTAACTGCATAGTCCACTATGTAGGATCTAGCCACCTTAACCATCAGGCTACCTGGTGGCTCCTACTCTCTGCATATTAATGCAAAAAAACTTAATTCTTAATTATTTTGGGGGCCAGTAGGTGGCACAGTGGTGAAGGCGCTGAATTCCCTCTTGACTGACCCTGGTTTGAGTCCTAGATCCAGGGGCTTGAAACTAACAACAGGCGTGTATGCATGTATGCCCCAAATCCCAACTCAGCCTCCATTTCCATCGTGTCAGGATTCTTTTGCTCAATCTCATTTTTCTAAAGAATCTAAAATGTTTGTATGTAAAATCTCTCGATTCTTAAGTTGGCTCATTTTTTAAGTATTATAAGCAGTTTACATTTTTTTCATTTATAAGCTAAAACTGACCCTCAGACTGCCAAATTTCTTTACATTATACTTACCAGCAGCAAAAGAAACTAATTTTCCACATTTACTATATCTTCTTGGAGGAAATGGTAAAAAAAAAAAAAAAATCCATTAATTCATTAGAGAAAAGGTATTACTGAATTTAAAATATAAACTTCTACATTCATATTTGTTCTGTATGTTTTCAACCTACTGTAGAATATTCCCACATTCCTCTCTACCACCCCATAACTGTGAAGTTGGTCTGTGGAAGGAGGGTCCCCATGGTCCTCAACACACTGCAGCACTCTGCAGAAAATAGAAAAGTTTCAGCATCTTTATTTAAACCTCTCGTGTTTAAACTCTCTCCAGTGGGTTAAAGCAGAGAGTTCTTTGGAGAAAAGAATACCTTGTCTTTTTTTTTTGGAGAGGTTTTTTTCGCTATAGGGCGTGTGTGCTCGCCAGACAGAGAGAGACAGAGAGACAGAAAGTGAGAAATCACCCCCCAGGGGGGATGGTCATGCCGCAATCCCTTCTCCTCTCGGGATCTTGGGCATGCACACACACGTGCCCAGCGTGAGTTTTAAGCCACCGGGTCCGAGACGTGAACCGCGGTCGACTATGTGGGAGTCCAGCGACATAGCCATTATGCTAACTGCTGGTTCCCAAAATACCTTGTCTTTTCTTCCTCAGAGTTGCCGAGAAATTATAATTAGAGGTTTTCCTATTGTATAAAGGAAAGGAATTCCTTTCCTTTCCTCATCTGCAAGACTCCTGTTCTCCACCAATCTGCTTCATTGTCCCATTTCTCTTTCTGCAGGTGATAGAGGGAAAGCTGGCTCCATTCCTGGGCAAGGTCATTAAATTTGCCACCTCACACGTGTACAGCTGCAGTCTTTGTAGCCAGAAGGGATTCATCTGCGAAATCTGTAACAACGGAGAGATCCTCTACCCTTTTGAGGATATTTCAACAAGCAGGTACAGAATATCTGCATTATACATGAATACCTGTATATGGCACATGCAGTTTTATTTGGCCAGATCAGGCCAACTTTTAGTCAGGTGCTGTATCTCTGTCTCTTACCCTGAATCAGGTTTCCCTTGTTCTTGAGGATTCCCCCCTCCCGTGGTTTCCTATATTTATTTCCAACCCTTACTTCGCTACCTTTATCCAGAATGAGATAACAGAGCTGCAAAGAAACATCGCCTAACTCTGCCTTATTAGGTAACACAGAACATTCAGATTCATTTTTAGAATGAAGATTGGAGAGGAAGAATACTCACAACCTTTTTGGAGCCAAGTGATAGGCAATGGGAAATTGCAGTCCCGGAGGAAGGCCAAAGCTAGATGAACCACTAGGCATACAACTATAGAGCACGCTGGTGAGCTGCTGCGTGCTTCACCACAAATGCACTGCAGCGTAGAAATGAATGGCAGTGCGATGACAGAAGTGTTAGGACCCAAAGGAGAGAAGAGAGGGAATTTCCATGGGATTATTTTCCTGACCAGAGTAATACTCGGGGCATCATCACATCCATTGATTGGTAGATGATTTTGTTTCTCCCACTAAAGTGAGACCAGGCTTTTTATTATTCCTTTTCTTGAATCACAAAACAATACAGATCATTCTTCCGTAATAGAAATATACATTGTGTGTGTGTGCACTGGCTTCTTTGGGCATGAATGTCATAGCTCATTTCCTACCCAAGGGGCTCACTTACATTGTGGGTCTTAGTAGAACAGGAAGCATGTAGCCCAAGAGAGTCGAAGCATGTAGGGTAGAGCTAAGACAGTAAGAGCTGACTCAGCCTTTGTGGCTCTTCTTAAACCCGAAGACTATTTGCAAATATTCAGGAACTTGGATTTGTCCCACACACAAAAAGACAGACACATAAACACATAGACACACAGATACAGATAGATACATACCCTCTACACAAATCCAACCTTCAGTTTCCTGAGTACAGTTAATTAGCACATAGTTTAGAAATTACATACCTCCTAAAAACACACACCACACAAAAACTTGTACACAAAGGTTCATAGCAATAACAGTATTTATAATAGCCAAAAACAGGAAGCAGCCTACACAACCAAACAACAAGCCTATCAACCAAAGAATGAATAAACAAAAGGTGGTATATCCATACAGTAGAATATTACTCAGTCATTACAAGTAATGAAGTACTGGGACAAGCAGTTGGCATAATGGCGATGTTGCTGGACTCCCATGTGGTCAACCATGGTTTGAGTCCCAGACCCCGTGGCTTAAACTCACGCTGGGTGTATGTGCATGCATGCCCACCCAAGATTCCAAGAGGAGAATGCAGGAGAAGGGATTGTGGCTTGGCCACCCCCTTTGGGGGGTGATTTCTCGCTTTCTGTTTTTCTGTTTCTCTCTGTTTCTCTGGCAAGCACACATACCCTATAGCAAAAAGAAACAAACACACAAACAAGTAATGAAGTATTAATAACATACTACAACATGGATTAACCTTGAAAACATATGAAAGAAGTCAAACACAAAAGGCTATATATTATATGATTCTATTTATAGGAAATGTCCAAAGTTCGCAAATCCATGGAGATGGAAAGTAGATTAGAGGTTGCCGGGGGCTGCAGGGAAAGGAGGAAAGAATGTAACTACTGATGGGTACAGCTTTCTTTGGGGGATGATGAAATTGTCCTGGGATTGTGGTGATGACTGTGGTGATCTTGTGACTACACTGAAAAATCAGTGAATTATATACTTTAAAAGGGTAAATTTTATGGTATGAGAATTCTATCACAGTAGAAAATTAAATTAAAAAATGCTTCCAGCTGAATAAACCATATGATAGCACACAAAACAAGTCTCAATAAATTTAAAAAGATTGAAACTGAGGGCCCGCAGGTGGCGTGGTGGTTAAGGTGCTGGACTTTCATATGACTGACCGCAGTTTGAGTCCCAGACCTGGTGGCTTGCTTTTTCACTTTCCCTCTCTCTCATGCTCTGTCTCTTTCTGGTGAACATGCATACCTTATAGCAAATTTTAACATAATAATAATAATAATGATAATGAAAACTAAATCCTTCTTTAAAAAAATTGAAATTATATCAAGTAAACTCTCTCCACAGTGAATAAAAATCTAAGGATCTCTAAAATATTTGGAAATTAAACAGTACATTTCTGCATAACTCAAGAAATCACGGGAACCAGCAGTTAGCGTAATGGCTATGTCGCTGGACTCCCATGTAGTCGACCGCGGTTCACGTCCCAGACCCGGTGGCTTAAAACTCACGCTGGGCGCGTGTGTGTGCGTGCCCAAGATCCTGAGAGGAGAATGGAGGAGAAGGGATTGCGGCATGACCATCCCCCCTGGGGGGTGATTTCTCGCTCTCTGTCTCTATGTCTCTCTCTGTCTGGCTGGCGAGCGCACGCGCCCTACAGTGAAAATCTCTCCAAAAAAAAAGAAATCACAAAGGAAATTTTTAATATTTTGAAATGGACAAAAATAAAATACAAAATATTAAAATACATGGAAGATAGCTAAAGTAGCTAAAGCTACCAGATCAGTAACCTAAAATTCTACTTTAATCAAATAAAGAACAACTAAATACAAAGCAAGAAACAGAAAGGAAAGAATAAAGATTAGGGGCCGGCAGGTGGCATGGTGGTTAAGATGCTAGACTCCCACGTGGCCGACCATAGTTTGAGTCTTGGGCCTAACTACTTGCTTTCTCACTTTCCCTTTCTCTCTCTCTCTCTGTCTCTCTCTGGTCAAATTTTTAAGTAATAATAAATCAAATAAATAATTCTTTAAAAAATAATAAAAGAGCAGATATCAACGAAATAGAAAACAGAAAAAACAATAGATCAGTGAAACTTCAAATTGATTCTTTTAAAGATCAACAAAGTTGACAGTCTTTTAAATAACCTGACCAAGAAATTAAGAAAGAAAATACAAGTTGCCAAAATGAGGAATAAAAGAGGTAAAGAGGTTGAAAGAATTATAAAAGAGTGCTGTAACCAACTTTATGACAAATTAAACAACTTGGATGAAATGGATAAATTTATGGAAAATAAATTACTAAAACTGATTAAAAACAAAAGAGAGAAGTATGAACAGACCTATAGAAAGTAATACATAAGATGGGCCCAGAGCCTAGTGGTTAAGGAGCTGATTCCATCTGACTGAACACCATTCACATCTTTGCCCTGGCAGCTTGAAAAGCACACCAGGCACGTACGCAGGTGTGCCCATAATCTCAACAGGATGGAGAAAAGGAGGATGAGGAATTGGGGCATGACCATGTCCCATTAAGGGGTGCTTTCTCCCTCTCTGTCTTTCTAGCAAGTGCATGTTCCCTTTTGCAAACAAAGAAGACAGTAAAGAAATCGAGTGAATAATTTAAAATCTTCCCAAAGAGAAGCCAAAAGACTTCAGGAGATTCTGCTATATTTAAACAATAATAGCAATCTCCACACAAGACTTACAAAGAAAGTCAGTTCTCCAAAAGACGTAACACCCTTGAACATGTATGAACATAGAGTAAAACACATGAAGTAAAACCTGGATGGAACTGCAGGAAGAAATAGGCAAGTTCACTATTAAAGATTTAAACACTCTCTAACTGTGGTGGTTGAGGCGGCTGGTTCTCATATGGCAAACTGCGTGGTTCAAATCTCAGACTCAGCAGCTGACAAACACACCAGGAAAGTGTGTGTGTGTGTGTGTGTGTGTGTCCACATGTACCCAAAATCCCTAGAGGAGAAATGGAGAAGTGGTTGAAATGGGACTATTCTCCATGAACAGGGCTTTCTCAACTTCCCTATCTGTCTGTCTCCCTCTCCAGCAAATGCATGTACCTTCGAGCAAAATTTAAAAACAATTTTATTTTCCTCCAGGCCCATGTACTTGCCTTAGAGAGATAGACAGAGAGAATAAGAAAGTGAGAAATCCCCCAACTGGGAAGATAGCTATGCCTCAATTCATTCTACTCCGTTCTCTTCTTGTGACTTGGGGCACACATGCACACTCATGTGGCATGTTTTTCAAGCCACCAGGTCCAGGACTCAAACCACTTAGTCAGCCATGTAGGATCCAGTCACCTTAACTACCATGTCACCAGCTGGCCTCTAAAAGCTATACAATCTTTAATGACTTTACTGGAATAATTTTAGATTTGTAAAAAAAAGTTGTAGAAAGAGTACAGAGCTCCCGTATACCATACACCCAGTTTCCAGTTAGCTCCTTACATTAATATAGTACATTTAATACAATTAATAGTTAAAATTAGTAAGCCAATATTGATACATTATTATTAGTTGAAATCTATAGTTTTTAAAGATTTCCTTGTTTTTTTTGTTTGTTTTTTTTTAAGAGGTTTTTGCTATAGGGCGTGTGCGCTCGCCAGACAGACAGAGAGAGACAGAGAGACAGAAAGCAAGAAATCACCCCCGCAGGGGGGATGGTCATGCCGCAATCCCTTCTCCTCCATTCTCCTCTCGAGATCTTGGGCATGCACGCATACGCACCCGGCATGAGTTTAAGCCACCGGGTCCAGAACACGAACCGTGGTCGACTACATGGAAGTCCAGTGACACAGCCATTACGCTAACTGCTCGTCCCAAGATTTCCTTAGTTTTTAACCTCATATCATTTTTCTGTTCCAGAACACCAAGTTACATTTAGTTGTCACGGCTCCTTAGGTTTCTCCTGACTGTGACAACCTCTCACACTTTACTTTGTTTTTATGACCTTGACAGTTTTGAGGTATTCTGATCAAGTGTTTTACAGAATCTCTCTTTGGGGATATACCTGATACTTTTTTGTCCTGATTAGACTAGATTTTATGGATTTGGGGAGGAAGAGCTTGACGTAAAGTGCCATTTTTATCCCATCAGCTCACAGGTACACACTATTTACATGACTTGTCATTGCAGTGTTTGTGTCAAGTTTCTCCAGGGAAAATTACTCTTCTCCAACCCCCACC